ATGTTGCAAATGCTGGAGTTAGTGATTTTTCTATTGTATAGCATTTTAGAAGTGGGTAACCTATTGTGGACAATTGTCCATAAGAAGGATTTAATTTTGTTTAAGGTGTCTAGCTTCCATAGCCAGGAAAAGTTTGTCCAATTCCCCCGCTACTCATAATGCATGTAAGCACCCTTAAATGTTGAAAATAAAACATTAAAATTTTAAATAAAAAAAGAAATAAAACCATCACACATTTGTCCTTCTCCATGTACTAATCATTTTTTATAATCTACGGGTCGGGGTCAAGCCTAAACCTCATGGAAAAAAAACAACTAAGACATTATTATCATCTTTAATTAGCACTCAAAATTCCATCAAAGCACTACGCAATTTGATTGATTAATAGTATTCTTTAGTAGTAATTTTTTTTTTAATTATAAAATATTTCTGATTGTCCAATGCGAAAGTATATGATCATGTCAACACGTATGATCTACACGTCTATAGTCACCTACCACTCTAATTGCCAATTAGGCAACCCTCAAATATCACAACACTTTAACCTACTTCATTTAATTTTACAAGAATTAATTGGCCAATATCAAAGGCTACTACTATTAAGAATGGGGGCCTTAGCTTGTAGAGGGGAAAGGGGTCTCAAGAGAGGATGTGGCAACGAAAACCTTTTGGAATTTAATAAAGGATTGAATGATGTCACGTGAACACAAATAAGTAATATCAATCCACTGCCTATTTGCAACTTGCAAGTAGCAGTTGAAATGTCCACATGATATTTCCAATGCAACCAACTTTGTACTTCCTCTTATATAATTCATCAAATTGATTTATGGAGTGAAATTGAAGCCTTCTCTTTTTATGACTAAAAACGTCACTTAACCAAGAAAAAGAAAAAGTATAACAAGTCATACATGTTAGCAATTAATCCCCTAATGAGGATTTCTTAAGAACTAATTATTTGTATTGATCGGTTAGATAGGAGTTAGTGGAGTCACTAGTTAGTTAGAAATGACAGCTGTACCAATCAGCTAAGTAGTTAGCAAGTTAGTTAGTGGTTAGCCGACTTACTTTTAGCTTAGTAGTACAATTGTATATAGTGGAGGTTCCACTCGTTTTCTTTTCTCAGTCAATTCTATTACGAAGTTCTGGAATCTACTCTCATCTTCTTCCTCTCTCTCTTTGTACTCTCATGGCGTGAAGATCACAGTTGCATCACCATTGAAGCTCAACTTCAAGTTGCAGCAGAGCTTCAGGTACTGTTCTATTGGCTAATTCTGATATGGTATCAGAGCAAGGAGCATCAACTTTGGACTCGCTTCACAAAGTTTGCTAGTTCTACTTCTGCTACTGACTATTCGAACTAGATCGCGCACATGCAAATTCATTTCTCCATTGATTTCGAGCTATAGTTCTGAGGACAAGTTATGTTCCTACTTCTTATCTGTAATTGTTTGAGAATTGCTGCTAAATTCCTAATTACCATATTTTCTAGCCCTCAAATCGCTTAGAAATTCTATGAATCGTAAAGATGAGTACTGGTGAGGATGATAATCAATCAACACCGACTATGACTGAGTCTCTTAACCAGTCAGGTGTTGATACTAGTAGTCCTTTGTATATGCATCCATCCGATAATCCTGGGGCAGCTCTAGTTCCTGCTCCATTTGATGGATTTTGTTATCAATCATGGAGAAGAGATGTGATTCGAGCATTATCTGTGAAGAATAAATTGGGATTTATCAACGGAGAATGCAAAAGACCAGATCCAGATTCATCAAAATTCTGCCTATGGGAAATGTGTGATGTATGGTCACATCGTGGATCCTTCTCCTTGACCAAGGAAATTGCAGACAGTGTTGAATATGTAGCTAATACATTCGAATTGTGGAGAGAACTTGAGGATCGGTATGACCAAACAAATGGGATAAAGCTGTACCAAATTCAGAAAGAGATCAATGATCTATCTCAAGGATCCCTTGATATCACTAGTTATTACACAAAAATGAAAAAGTTATGGGAGGAACTTAATACCTTGATTGTCAAATCTCATTGCAATTGCAATTGCTCATGTGGAGCTAAGGAAAGTATGCATAAGGCTGAATAAGATAGGAGACTGATACAATTTCTTATAGGATTGAATGAGACATACATTGTTGTTTGAGGCAGCATATTGATGATGAATCTTCTTCCCACAATTGCTCAAGCATTTTCTTTGTTGATCCAAGAGGAAAGGTAGAGAGAAATTAAACCAAGTGGTCATTTAGCACTGGAGTCATCAACTTTGAATGCTAACACAATCAGGCCTGGGACATTCAGAATAAACTACTCTCCCAACAACAATTACAACAACAGGAATAGGCCTTTATGTGATTATTGTTAGAGGCCAGGGCACACCAAATAGAAATGTTGCAAGCTTCATGTATACCCACAGAACCTTGGCCACAATCAGAATCTAAATACAAGTCAAATCAATTTCAATCAAAATACTAGGTAGAACCCCAACTATAATTACAATTCAAACAACAACAATAACAGATTCAGTAAAGGCAATAGAACAGTGGCCAATGCACATATAGTAACTACTGACACTCAACCTGCAGAGACTGAGAAGTATGCCAGTCATGACAATGCTTAGAATGTGAGTCTTACCCAAGACGAATATAGCCAGTTGGTGAGCCTGCTGCAATAATTTCAATTAGCAGGAGTAGAAGACCATGGAACTGGAGCCAATGCTACATCAGGAGCAACAAACTTTGCAGGTATGATAGCTTGCACTTCCTCAATTGACTTTGGTAAACTCTCATGTGAATGTTTCAAGAACAAAGCTGATTTATGGATTATAGATTCAGGGGCATCAAATAACATGACCTTTAACAGATCCTTATTAACCAACGTAATAAACTTACCTTATCCCCTGTTAGTCATACTTCCAAATGGCTACAAAGTAAAGGTGACAGAAATTGGTAGTGTGACTCTCACTTTTAAGATCACTCTAGATAAAATGATGTTTGTTCCCACTTTCAGATACAATTTAATCTCTGTCCACTCTTTGACCTCTCACCTCAACTGTCTTGTTGCCTTTGTCAAACTTTGTTGTATATTGTAGGCCCCTTCAATGAAGAGGCCTCTGATGATTGGTAAAGTGAGAGATGCTCTGTACATCCTATGCCCAAGTTGTTTGAAGAAGAACAATGCAAGCCCTGCAGTAAAGGACAATCGTATACTACCTATCATTTCTACTTGTTGCACTTGTAACACACACTGTCCCTCTCATTCTACTGTAAATATACCATTTCATACCAATAAGTGTGTATCTTTTCCAATTGAAAGTAATTCATGTGCAAGTGTTAAAGAACAAACTTCTTTTGCAAGTTCATCTTCTGAATTTCCTAGCATATTTTCTCATTCTTGGGCTGGAAATAATGTGAATATATTGTGGCATAATAGACTTGGACATGTTCCCTTTGTCAAAATGAAGAAGATTACCTCTATACCTGCTAACTTCTCCCCCAAACAACCTTTCAATTGCACCATTTATCCAATGCCTAGACAAGAAAGACTACCATTTCCTCAGAAACCAGCACAACTAAGAGAATCTTTGAACTTTTATATGTTGATCTGTGGGGTCCATATCATGTTCGTACACATGATAGACATAAATATTTTATAACCATAGTGGATGATTATATCAGGTCCACCTGGACTTACCTCTTATCCAGCAAAAGTAATGCCATTAAGATACTCAAAAATTTCATGAATCTAGTGGAGAACCAGTTTGGTGTAACTATCAAGTCCATAAGGTCAGATAATGGACTGGAGTTCACCAGTAGAGAAGCAACCATGCTATTCCAATCTAAAGGGATCATTCATCAAAGAACTTGTCCCTACACACCACAGCAGAATGGTGTGGTAGAGAGAAAACACAAATACCTTCTTGAAACAGCCAGAGCCCTCCTTTTCCAATCCAAGCTACCCCTAAGATATTGGGGTGAATGTATCCTTTGTTCCACTTATATAATAAACAGACTATCATCCAATTCTATCAGCAATAAGACACCATATGAGTTACTATACAAAAAAAGGCCAAAATACTCCCACCTTAATAGCTTTGGTTGCCTATATTACCCTACTGTACCAGTACCACATAGGGATAAGTTCAATCCTAGAACAACACCTTATGTCTTTGTTGGATATCCTTTCAACACAAAGGGGTACAAAGTTCTAAGTCTAGCCACTAGAAAAATTTATATTTCCAGAAATGTGGTGTTTAATGAATCCATTTTCCCTTTTAGTGTTAGTGTGAACAAATCTTCTAAATCATTTGTTCCTTATCCAATTCCGTTCATTGAATCTCTAAGTGAACAACCTTCTGAATACAAATGTCACACAGACCTGAAATCTTGAATGATCAAAGGAGTGTAGACAACACATCTATTTCTATGTCACCTATGCATGTAGCTAGCCTTTCACCTTCTGGAACACCTAGATCTTCACCACCTAATGTATCATCACAACATAACACTGAATAGACCAATGTAGAACAAGTTCATCCAACAATACAGTCACACAAGGTTCACAAACTTCCCACATACCTGCGGGACTATGTCCATTCCCTACCTCAACTTAAAACTAATTCTTCTTCCCTTAATGCTTTGTTCTCTGTTAATCATCATATTGCCTCTGATCTACTAACTCCTGATAGTCAGACTCTTGTGAGAAATGTTTGTCATGACAGGGAACCATCATCATATGAGGAGGCAGCCATTGATCCTGCATAGCAAGCTGCTATGACACAGGAATTTGATGCATTATACTCTAACCACACTTGGGATTTAGTGATGCTACCACCTGGGAAGCAAGCAATTGGTTGTAGGTTGGTGTATAAGGTGAAACACAAAGCAGATGGTAGCATTGAGAGGTTCAAGGCCAGGTTGGTTGTCAAAGGTTATACTCAATAGGCAGGCATAGATTATACAAAAACCTTTTCACCAGTTGTAAAAATGACAACAGTTAGGGCCTTAATAACTACAACAGTTAAGAAGGGCTGGTCCATCTCACAGTTGGATGTGAATAATGCTTTCCTCCATGGGAATCTCAATGAAGAAGTATATATGCAGGTACCACCTGGGTTAGTAATAGACAAACCAGGTTTAGTCTGCAAACTGAACAAGTCTCTCTATGGTCTGAAGCAAGCAAGTAGACAATGGTATGCAAAACTGACTGAGGCACTATGCTCAAGGGGCTACACACATTCCATGTATGACTATTCACTCTTCTATAAAAGAAATGAAAATACATCAATATATGTTGCTATATATATAGATGATGTGTTATTGACTGGAACTGATCAGCAAGAGATTGCACAGCTCAAGAGCTTCCTATATGAGCAGTTCAAGATCAAAGATCTAGGACAGCTTCATTATTTCCTAGGACTGAAAATTATGTATAAGGATGATGTGGCCATTATATCACAAAGAAAATTTGAGTTGGATCTGCTGAAGGAGTACAATTGTCTGGAACACAAGGCTTGCTCTTCACCTTTAGACCCTACTATAAAACTAAAAGCCAAGGAAGAGACAATACTGCAGGATCCCACTTACTACAGGAAATTAGTAGGCAAACTAAATTTCCTAACCAACACCGTATTGGACATAGCATATAGTGTTCAACACTTAAGCCAGTTTATGCAGGAGCCCAGAGAACCTCACCTGAAAGCAGCATTTCACTTGTTAAGATACCTAAAGAATGATCCTACCTTGGGAATTTTCATGTCAAAGGATGGGGATCATACAGTCAAAGCATATTATGACTCTGATTGGGCAGCCTGCCCCGACTCTATGAGGTCCATCACAGGCTACCTGGTTTTGTTGGGTAGCAGCCCTATTAGTTGGAAGTCTAAGAAGCAAGAGACCATATCTCTTTCTTCTGCAGAATAAGAATATAGAGCATTGAGGAAGGTTGTGGGAGAGTTGGTATGATTATGCAGACTATTCGAAGAATTGACTGTTCCTTTTTCCCTGCCCATTTCAGTCTGCCTTGCATATTGCAAGGAATCCAGTATTTCACGAGAGGACCAAGCATATAGAAGTCGATTGTCATTTTGTGCGTGATCAACTACAAGCAGGCTTGATCTCTCTCCATCATATCAGAACAGACAACCAGCTCGCGGATATCCTAACTAAAGCATTGACAGGGATCAAACACAGTGCTACATTAGGCAAATTGGTTGTATTTACTACACCTCCAACTTGAGGAGAGGGGGGGTGTTAAGAACTAATTATTTGTATTGATCAGTTAGTTAGGAGTTAGTGGGGTCACTAATTAGTTAGAAATGACAGTTTTAGTTAGTGGTTAGCCGACTTAGTTTTAGCTTAGTTGTACAATTGTATATAGTGGAGGTTCCACTCATTTTCTTTTCTCAATCAATTCAATTACGAAGTTCTGGAATCTTCTCTCATCTTCTTCCTCTCTCTCTTTTTGTGCTCTCATGGCGTGAAGATCACAGCCGCACCACCATTGAAGCTCAACTTCAAGTTGCAGCAGAGCTTCAGCTACTGTTCTATTGGCTAATTCTGATAGGATTCATGTAATTGTTAGTATTTCTTGCATGATCTTCTGGTTAGGTTTTCAATTGGCTTGTACATGTACTAACTTTTGTACTCTAATATTTCTTTATTATTAATTTAAGAAGAAAGAAGAGATGCCGACATGGATTCTAATCCTTTCTAAAAAGAAAAATGGTAATCAAAATGGATGAATTCTAATTGAAATAAGTTGTAGAATTAGATTCAGATTGCTGCTTATATTGATTTTCTTGTGAGACTAGAACCATCCCTCTATAAACTTTTCAAAATAATCGAAAAGGACATAGTAAAACAAAACTTGGGTGTTGAATTCAATATGGTTAAAAGAAGAAATAATGTCAAAAAGCAAACATTTGGCACTTACTTCCTTCTGTCCTATATAGAAGCAATTATTAATATAGAACATGTTCTAGATGTTAAGGTCCACTTTCTTTGTAGCCTACCATAAAATCAGCCAGCTAATATTTTTTCTCCCCCCAATCTTCACTTTACGCCACGCCGACTCCCCTTTCGTCATAAGGCGTGGAATTAGACCAAGGAGAATCTCTATAGGAACTAGTCCCTTATATTTCGCACATAGGAGATCGAGACACAGCCCCAGGGCTATGGGGAAAGATGTAGATCGATCGCCCTAGATAGACAACTACATAGAGGGTCTCTACTAGTCTATATATTCTTTTATTTCGTTCCCCCCGTAAGAAAAATATTACAACCTATGAGGTCTGCAAGTTTCACATCTAAGTAATACCCGATCCGATAGTTTACGATATAGATAGATAGATATTGAGTGTAAGCATCCAAGGATCATTCATTAAATTTAATGAGGAACGACGAAATGAGAAGATGAGGTGCCTCGGGCACCCCCATTTAGAAAGAAGGGTCGAAGGTTTTGGGCCTGTATCTTTCCCCGTCCCCCCTTCGTTGGGCGGTGATTGTGTGGAGGGTGCACCACCTGAAATCGGTCTTGAAGCTCTCACCTTACCAACAAGCCGAGAGCTGATGGCTGTTGGTCACGACTACTATCAAAAAGCTCCTATGAAGATGAATATTTCACATGGAGGAGTGTGCATCTTTATGTTGGGTGTTCTTCTGTCGTGCGACCCGGCGGCTTATGTGCGACCTGTGGCCCACGCCTCCTATTTGTTCAGGGCGGGCGGCGTGAACTCTGATTCGATCCGGGTATTCAATCCCGCCGCTGAGATGCTCAGTTGACTCCTTAACCTTAATAGAAAGATGGCTTATTCAATAATTCGTGCATAAGGGTAAGGAACCTTGGATAAACTAATGTGAATGGGTGTAAGCCTCGCTGCTCGGAAACACCCAGTGCTGACCACACTGAGAGACACGAAAG